ATTGAGTAATCAGAGGAACATAAATGCATGCGACTCACCAATGATGCGAAGAATCTGCATTCACAGGATGTCATTGTCCAATAATCAGGAAATGGAAACTGTAACACATGGAACATTATAATTAAAATACAATTCTATTTGAAAAAATTGAAGTAAGTGGAAAATAAAAATAATTACCTCTTCGCGTGATGGATGATCGCCTTATTCTCTTGAGAAACACTGATTCTATCTCGAAAACAAATATTAAAAAAAAAAAATAATAAAAATAAAAAACTATCAACTATATTTATAATTTATAATTGGCGGACAAACACTGACTCTAATTTCACGACTATCATATTATAAATTTAATTAAAACTAACTAAAAAAATAAAATTTTTTTTCTAAAAATATTTAAGAAAACTATAACGAAGCAAACACTGAATCTACCAACCGCATTGCGCGCGGTTACAAAAATTCTCTGGAAATAAAATTATATTAACAATGGAAATTTACAGAAAAAGTAACAAAATAATCTTTCTATATTTTATTCTTTTTCTATCGAATATTTGTTTCAGAAAATATTACCATTATTTGAAATTATGAATTTATTATTAATTTTATTATTAATTTTTCATGAATAAAAAAATGTCATGTATAAAAAATAGATCATGTGTAAGAATATATATTTTTATAGAGAATTTATCTTTTAAACAAAAATATTAATATTTGTGGTGAATGTTCATTATAAAGGTATAAATATACTTTAAATAATAAAGTATATTATAAATACCATAAAATAGAAACAGAATAAATACATACAGTACAGAAGATTCTCTTTAGAAAAGTACGATGGCGTCCATATTGGAATTTTTCCCGCCTTTAATGTTGGCCAATAATCAGGTAATAATCTGTGCAAAAGAAAATAAAAATTTTCAAATAAACACATAAAATATATAAAACTAATAGATCACATTAAAATAATAATAAAATAAAAAAATAATCAAGCACAAATTTTATTTGAAAAAGTTATAATACGAACTAATTGGAATTGTAACCGTCAAAAAAAAACGAACAAAGAAAAGGGAATAATTTAATCCTTGAAAGATTGAATAATAATGTATGAATAATAAATAATATATAATTTTGAAAGGAAATATATAATATGTACATACTACGTAGCAAATAAATCACTTTAAGAAGAATCACCTCAAAAAGAATCACTTCAAAAGGAATCACGTCAAGAAACTTCTGATCACCACCAATATCGATAGTACAATGACGCGTCACCTTACAATTTCGATTATCGAATCGAATTAGAGAAAGGGAAGGGGAAGGTGCGCGTCGTTCGGAAAGTCAAACATGTCGAAACGTGTCGAAAACATGTCAAGCGTAACAAAAACACGAACGCCTGATTTCTTAGAAAGACAATGTTATGAAAAATGTTATTATGTTATCGACCTCGAGCACAACATTGAAGGAAAAAGAAAAACATATAAACGAATGACGCATTTAGAATCGCAATATGTACCACTAATGTAATATAGTTCGATAATTCGATAATTCGATAATTCGATAAAATTGACTTTTTACGTTCATTTCAATATGGATGAAAAATATAGGAATCTATTCTAAAAAAAATCTATCTTTAAAATATCAAAAAGCTACAAATCGTGATGGTATGTGCATACTATAAATCATTTCTCTTTCAACTATTCAACTATTCCGAAAATAGAATGATAATTTTGCCGAATGAAAATCAAAATCGTAAAACAAATGAACAAAAAAATTATAATTATATTAAAATGAAGCAACAAGTGAATTCAACTTTCGATTCAATGAAGTACAAACTACCGGTAACGTCGACATTAACGATCAACGAAAAAAGTACAAAAACTCAAAATATTAATTAATTTCGTTATTATAATAATAAATTGATTATTAAATAAACAAAACTAATATTAATTTATAAATTTTATAATAGAATATGAATAAAATTACTTACTGCGCAGTCGAATCACAGAAGCCGGGAACAAACGACACACATCCTCACTCGATGACTTTTCACAGGAGACTGACGCCATGATTTGCCTACTCGCTTTCTGATTGGCTGACGTCCAATAGGCTAATTCGATAATCGAAATCGCGCGGAAAATTAAAGCATTATATAATATTTTAATTATTCTAATTAATAATATATTAAAAATAAATTATTAATTTATTTATATTTATTTATATTCATTTTACAATTATTAATTATTTGTTTGATTTCTATATTTATATTTTTTTACTATTCATTTATTGATTTATTTATCGATTATCGATTTATCGATTATTTAATAATTTATTCATCTATTTAGTAATTTATTTATAAATTTTTTATAAACTTCTTTACTTTATTAATTTATTTATGCATCTTAATTTTTTTATTTAATTTTTCCTTTTTTTATATCTAATTAGTGCTTGCATTTTTCATGACGTTGAAACTTTTTATACTTATTTATCGATATAAAAGTTTCAATGTTTTCCCAAGAGATGGCAAAACCAATCAAGAATCGTTAAAAAGTTCTAAATACTGTCAATAAAAAAATGTGAAAATATAATTTAAAAGAAGTGAAAAAAATTTATTTACGTTATTAGATATATAAATTTTTGTTAAAATTTTAACACTTATGTATACTTATACTTATTTTTTGCATATTTTCTTTTTATAAGTTCCATTTTTTGCATTGAACACATATGAGTATATTATCTCTAATAATAATTAAATCATTTAACATAGCAAATATTTGAAGAAAAATATATAAAATATTGAAGAACAACAAACTTGTATAATAATTCGAAAGATTTTAACAAAAATTTCAGAAAATTTAACAAAATTTAAAGCTTAAAAAGGATTATATTCTTACACTGCACTCGACTAGTGCTGTCATCATGTGGTATAATACGGAATTATATGCAATTTTATTTATGGTGGTATTTACAATTGTTTTTTTACTTATTATAATATATTTTATTTTACTTATTATTATATGTTACTATATGTTATTCTTTCTCTAACAAAATTTAATTAAAATTGGAATTATAATATAATTAATAAAAATTTCAGCTATCAGTAATTTCAATCATTTATAAATTATCCATCATTATAACCTAACATCATTAATACCTAATGTTATTTCTAAAAAAGGATTATGTTTAATGATGTAACCAATGCATAAGGTATCTATGACGCAGTTTATTATACAATTACAATACTCTTACTAATCATATTGTGATAATGATCGTAGTAATAGTATATTCTAGATAACATGAAATATTCCAGATTGATATGATTTTATTTATACAGCTCCATTAACGCACATTCATACATCCCTTTCTCTCAAACTTCCGGTGAATCCTGTCAAGATCAACGCGGAATATTTAGGGCGGACATCAGAAACACACTTCGCGGATAATTAATTGCTAATCATAGTGCATCCCATGGCATGAATTCTCATAACCATAGATATGCGTGAACGTTTTAAAAAGGTCGCAAATCTCACGAACACGCTTCTAAGTCTTGGTACAAAATAGTTTAGACGACTTTGTCATCGAAATATGGACTATTCTCCATTCTTATGATTTTAATTTTTTAAGAACTATCATACCGTGCTCTTTTTTTTTTCCTTTTTTTTTTTTAATTTTTCTAAATCTTTTCTTATCTTCATTTAGTTTCTTATGGTTACCTTTTAATGGTACTTTTCTCTTATTATTTAACGTTATTTCTAGGCATCGAATCGAACGATGTCACACGTGTCCCAATATTTATGAGTAACACATCGAATTCTTTAATAATAGGCTTCTATATAACGCTAGATTTCTCTCAAAAGACAATTATACACTGCTACTGATTGAGATTAATCGATTAATTCTCGATATATCAATGCCATCTTGAAAAAAAATGCGCTCCTTTTGAATTGCACCATATTCTTTTCGTAATTTTTAATGTTATTTCGCATAGATATTTATAAAGAACGCGATGGGACGGTAGGAGCAAAATCGTACGCGTTTTTATATTAATTTTGACGAATCTTCAAATATTTAACAAAATATTTTAAAAATCAGATCAACACAATAGAAAATAATTTTTCAATCAAAGCTTAAAAATTAAGATTTGTAATAATTCATAAAATATTATCAGATATCAGTAATTTACACGGTGTTGCAATTGATATTTAATCTTTTTAATCCAAATAATAAATCTACGTTATATCGTTAAAAAAGAATAAAATTTATTTAAAAAAAAAATAGAACTCACGATAAAACTCGTGCAATTTATGTCGTTCTTATTCTATCGATAAAATATAAAGGAAAAAACTTTAGGATTATTTTAATATTCCATATAAAGAAATAAAAACAGGAAACAAAGGATTGACAAAAAGAAAACGGAGAAACAAAAAGTAACTGAAGTCTATCTAGCACTTTTATTTTCAAATAATAAAAGTTAAAATATAATGA